CCATACAGTATAGTCATCTTTAAAAGGCCCCAACATGAAAAATGTAGAACAATTCAAACAAAAAAACCCAAGCTTATTTCATTACTGTAAAATAAATATAAATAATTCAATATCAAATTATTATACCTCATTTATAGTCAGATCAGTCTACATATCATAGAAAGACTGGCATATGACTTTTGAAAAAGGTCCCTTCATCAAAATTTGGTTGGGGAGATATCAGCAGCTCTTCATAATTATGCAGTTTCCAAATGAGCAAGTTCAAAAAGGGTTAAAATTTGTTCTAAGATTTTGATATTTTTAATCAGGCCAAAATATTACAAATTTCACATAGAAATAGTTGTGATATAGCTATTAATGTACAGTAACTTCATTGTGGCACATCACATTAAAAATGACCCCTCAAGTATGCATTATTTGTGTTGTAACGTCAGTTTTGGTAAAATTTTCAATAATTCTTTACAGTTTTTCGCATAATTTACTTTGGCCACCACCCATGATCCAGAAAATTTTTGTGTCTAGGGATTCAATATCATCATTGGCAACTTTTGGCTACAGAACATTTTGGATCCTAGGTTGCGGCTAGGGGATTTCTCAAGCTTGCAGGTCCAAAAAATGCACAAAATCGTCATTTTTTTAACAATGTATCCAAAATGTGCTGACTTTGAAACCTAGCATGTACTATAATGAAGAGATTTTTTAAATCTAGTATTAATGCTTTTGAAATATATCCATTTAAGAACCAAATTATGGTCATTTTGAAATATTATGATAAAGTTGAAATTCAAGGCCATATTTGGCCTAAAGTGAACCTTGTCCTTTGTTATTTAAGTTTAATTTGAATGTTTTACATATAAAACAAATACTTCTTTCTTTTGAGAGAAGTTAGAAAGTAAGATTATTGTTTAAATCAGGTTTCCTAAAAAAAAAAAGATCTGCTCCTTAAGTTATGCTGAATAACACTAAATATTATTTAATAGCAATCATTTGTTAGTGAATAGTTTACAAAAATTATCAGTACAACAAGAAATAAGATTATATTTTTCTTTCAATAATATGGGACTCTTTTTGAAGTATTTATTGAAATGTTTATTGTGCTGAACTTATCATTAAATACGGTTTTAGACTTTTTTTTCAGTTTACTTCTTTTAATAACATAAATCACATCTCCACAGCAGTCACAGTATTATGTGCAATAAACAAAATAGAAATTAAAAAAATAATTTTAGGGGTTAGGGGGGAGGGGGTGGGAGTTAGAATTACAATTATCTTGCAGTTGCCAAGTCTTCTGATTTGACAGTACACAATGCAAATTTTAGATTTTGTGTGGATATATTTTTTAAACTATCCTTCACAGGTTCAGCAAAATAGCAGGTGTGCTAAGAGCCCTTACATGTGGAGAGAAGCTCATATAGACCAACACCATTGTTGATTATTTAGTTGATACTTGCATGTGATCTTTATTTGCTGGTCCATAATTTTAAATTGGCTATTTTTTTTTTATCATAACCAGTAGATAGGCCTTCTTTCTATAATATTATGACTGCACTTAATGTGACATGATGGATCTTTACCTATTTGTTTTTAGTTTTTAATTACCTTATATACATAATGATTTAATTTTAAATCAAATTTTTAAATTTCAGTGAAAAATTAGGCCAAATAATGCCCTTTTTGCACTCTGTCCATTATTTACTGGCAATTCAATAACATTTGTGGCATCCTAATTATTTTATTAATGAACGACAAATTTAAGTATTCAGAATGTACAAATACATAGGCTTGTACTGGGGATTCTTTATTTTTGTAAGTACCAATTTTTGTGCATTTTCACTGATATTTGATTTCATGGTTGACAAATTTTACAAATAAGCGTATGTGCTTCACTGAAAATTTAAGGGGTACCGAACACCTATCCAAGTTAACTCTTTAAAAACCAGCTGAACGTTTTAATTACATACTATTAGTAAAGAGAAATCAAGCTTCTCTATGATCAAAATTAGTGTTTGTCAAACTGCTATATATCCAATGAAATTATTCCTGTAAAAAGTGTGGTTCAAATTTTTTGAAATTTCTTTATCAACAGGCCTATAAAGTAACTATTTTGTCAAAATTTTATGAAAATTAAACAAGCCAAATCTATGTTTGTCATAGAATTGGGTGCCCCCTTAAATTTGTGATTTACCTATATGCACAAATTCCACAAAAATTGGTATCCAACAAAAAATAATGAATTAACAGTATGCAAAATTTGTAAAAGCCAAGATGTCAAGTTTCCATGAAATTCAATAACTGTAGCTATAACCCTTATAATCTAATCATGGCTTCATTTGGACTGTTCTAAACTGAAGTCGAAACTATATACAGTAAAAATTAAGCTTTCACATAAATTTTAAGTTTCAACTATAGACTTAGTGTGTTAGACATTCCAGTATATTCTATTGAAAATGTAATATAAAAAACCTTATTTCTACTTTTAACTTCAGTGTTTGTTTTTTTTAATATCATTTCTTATTTGTTACAAAATTCTAAATTCTTATAAAAAAGATTTTTTTAAAGAAAAAGCTAGACTTGTCCTATGCAAAGAATGTTGTTTCTAAACTTTATAATACTGAAGCTAAAGGCTAGTTACCATCTCCTAGCAAAAAACACTATTTCAAAATCTTTAAAAAGCCTATGGAAACCATACTCGAAACATCAACAAGGTCTGTCTTGTTTTCTTATCTTAAGTAAAAGCATGAAACAAATTTAATGAAGGTTAAATGAGGTTCTACACAGTTTTACATTGTATTGTCATTTTTAAGATGTAGGGCCTTATTGTTAACAAAACTAGTAAGATGAGGATATCACATGTCATTCATCACACCTACATTTACCTCCCCTGAAACTGTTTAGTCTCTTCTTAAGATAGATGGGGGTCTAAATTAAAATCCATAGAATTTTTTAATAATTTGTCAAAATGTAGTTTATATCATACTTTTTTCCAAAATATATTAAAAAGTATTGGTCACCGGGCGTTTTTTCACGCTACAGGTTGTGCAAAATTGTCAATTTTTTGTATAGTTATGCATGGAAAACCCAAGTTTGTGTGATAAAAAGAAAACTACACCATAGAATTTTAAGATAAAATATGAGAAGATAGCTCTAATAATATGCTTTCAGATAAGAAAAAGAAAAAATGGGGTCACCTGACTCGTTTTCTTGCTACATATTGAAATAGGTAAATTCACAACACATTCTATTATAAAAATTACTTTATCTGAGTTATTTCCCCTTATATCTGAGTTATCTCCCCTTTAGTGACAAAGTTTGGGAGAAAATGAATCAAACAAAACTACAGTCGTAAATATGACAAAACATATAATTTTCTATATTAACATAAAAAGTCTTACACATGAATTACATACTACTCTCGAAATAGGCACATTTCATTAAAGATCTAGACCCATTGTTATCGGCTATTTCAAAATCCAAGATGGAGGAAGACACTCCAGCTACCTTAAGGAGGAGTAATTCTAGGAATCAGACAAGTAAAAAAATTGTCAATGAAAAAAAATCTGAAACTGATCATACTAATAAAATGGGATTAAGGTTGCTAAGTAGAAAGAAACAATCTGTATTTTGGATCTATAGATATGCACTTTTAAGATATTTCTACAGATTACACTTAAAATAACAAAATCAGGGGAAATAACTCACTATTTCATTCAAATTGTTATCATTCTTTTATGTGAAAATATAAGAGAAATTTGGAGAAATTTGTTTTTCACAAAACACAGGTAGAATCAAAATTTTTCATTTCTCATCAATAGCACTACCATATATACTAACTGCATGGTTAAATTGATGGCCTATTGTTACATGTGACTAATTTTTAATGAAACTGCCATGATTCTTACAAAAACTTACAACTATAAAAATACAAGGCACTTAGATACTTGACCTGATACAGATCGTTCCTTTTATGTCCAATTTTAGCCTAAGATTATGCTATGTACTTATATGCTGATGTGAATTTACATTAAATGCATTCAAAGCTAAAAATATCTACATGTCTGCAATGATAATAATACATATATATACAATGATAAAAGCTACTGTATCTAAACTTCCAAAACCTCTTTGAGGTTCACAAGGTATTAGGTTTATGTTAAAAGGTAAGTTAAAACGGTTCCAATAGTTGGGGAAAATACAGCAGTAACCCAAGCTTACAATGTTAAGAAACTCTTGCAGTGTTTTCAATATTTTTATACCATTTGGCTTACATTGTTAATTTTCAAATAAATGCATAAAAAGTAAGGTTACCATGTTTTTTTTTATAGAAAACTAAAAACAATGTTCCCTAGAGAGTAAAATTAAAATTGAGAATGGAATTGGGGAATGTGTCAAAGAGACAACAACCCGACCATAGAGCAGACAACAGCCGAAGGCCACTAATGGGTCTTCAATGCAGTGTTTCCCTAATTGTCCCTCAAATAAAGCAAGGAAATATCTTTTTAAATAATTGGAAATGATAATTGACATCTCAAAACAAATTTGAAATGTAAAGCAAAATCAAACAACAATAAAGACAAAAAAACAAAAAATCATTGTGAAATTATGCTGTTATAATTAATAGAAACACATTCAGAAAAATTCCACCAAGGATTTTTTCTTGCAATCTTGACAGAACATACATCTAGCAGTACATTATCAATTGTAAAAGAAAAAAAATGGGTGTCCCAAGTGCATATTTTGCAGCTAAAAGCAGTAAACCTAACTTTGTAAATACTGGGCATCCCATTTACTCGTCTGTGGCTAACTTGCCAGAATATTCTTCATACAACATCCTTTATGCATTCAACCCATTCGTCACAAAGAATCATTGTCCTTTATCGGTACTTATTGATGATCAAAAAGTAGCAATTCCTCATTTAAAGGATAAAAGAGCATCAAAGAGGTATTAAAAGTTCAAATTAATGCATCTATGATAAGAAAATCTTGATCTAGAGATACCAAGTTTCGTAAAAAATTCTGTCAATGTTTGGCAAAACTATTGATGCATCAAAAAACTTAACACAGACTGAAACTAAATATTTGACAACACAGAAGCTATCAAAATATTGAATCCTTTTGTCTTTTTTTTACAATTGTTGTCCTAGGCAAGACTAAATCTTTTTTAACATCAAATCTATGTAATCTAAAAATTCATTTTTAACCTGCAACAAAATATACTAGAAAATGTAGAATCTATGTCAAATAACTAAAAAATATATATGATTGGCCTAAAATCTTTTACAAATTAAGTATAAACTTTAGGCTACAATTACCTGGAGAACCTAAACCCATATCTTGGCACACTGTGTGTAAAATTGGCACACAGAGACCTTGTACTTTGACACTCATATTATGTCATATTAAATGACTATCAGTGTACAAATGTTCAAATGCTCTTTAAAAAAAATACCTCTTAACATTGAAATGTCATTAGGGGTGGATTTTCATGAATATAAATGTACCATATTTATATATTTGTATAACATCTGATGTGTGCATATCAATGAACCAGCATGACTGGATTGATTTTCTCTCTCTTTCCTTCTTTTGGAACCTTTGTTCAGCTTTTTGTTATTCTTGGACCTTAGCTCGATGTCAAACCTCGGCCCTGTTAGTCTCATATCAGCCATTCTTTGTAATCCTTTAATTTTTTTCTGACAATTTGTGATTTCACTAAATCATTGTGAATCTTAAAGTTAAGGTTTTGCAGCAATTACATATTCAACACATGAAACAATAACATTCCCTTTTTAAAAATATGCAGCAAATGATCGTACAAACATGTACTGCTGTCAAAAAATAAATTTTCAATCATTTTACAAAAATCAAGGATATAAATATAAATTGAACACTTAAAAAAGGTTTCAAAACATGAAATATAACAAAGAGGTTTGTGTTTTGACTGATTTTGGCACTTCTATGTCTCTTCCTTTTGTTCATGATTTATTATCTCTGGAAATCAAATCCTGCTGTTCCATCTGGACCTTTAGGTTGACGTAATACTTCAACACAATTATTATTTGTGTTTAAGTCTTTGAACAGCTGTGTAACTCTGTAATGAAAAAATGACAAACATTAAATATACAATCTGATCAATTTATAAACGTACAGGTAGTTTGTGAAACAAAACTGTACAATGGTTCTTTGTTTACAAGGAAGCATAATTATCTCTACATTTTTTTGTATCTGTTCAAAAATTCTCAAATATCTAGTATGTTTCAGAACAAAAGAATAACTTATCTTCTTACAGAATTTTTTTTTACAGCTATTCAAACTCAAGTTCTCAAAAGATGAAGAGTGACAACAAAAATATTATAGTCCCTTGATACATGTATATAGCACTGACACTTTCAAGAATGCACAAAAGCTTTAAAATTATGCAACTCAAGTCAGTCTTATGAGAATTACATATTGCATGTGGCGCTAGATTTCTTTTCTTCATGAAAATACTCAATATTTTTTCCAGTTAAGGTAAATAAATATATTCTTGAGACAACTTCTTATATATGTACTATTTCACTTTTCTCTTTCAATGTATACATTAAAACAAAATGTTCTACTTACTGCTCAAATATAATAATTGTCGTTTTCACATATATAATTTCCTGTCAAATTGTCTAACTAATACGATGATGTGCCTAAGGATGATCGAAATAATTGATTTTTTTCTGTCTTTTCAGTGAATTTGTTGGTCAAAGTATGACACTATTTATTAATTTCTTTGTCTGCAATAAATAGTCTGTTTTTGTTGAGATGATTCCACATCTGTGCTATCGACATCTAGCAAAGATTTTTGCTCAAACAGAAGACTTTTTGAACTAGCATTGAAGTGTCAGGTTTTGCTGTTTTGAAGACCTCATTGTGACTTTGAGATGATGAACAGCAATATATAAAGCACTGTTTGTCTGCTTTTGGTTTTTTCAAGAGAGTGATGGAATTTTGTCTCATGAATTCATACACAACTTCGTTTTTTTTGTGAGGGACAATAAAAGGATAGCTATCTTTCTTTATTGGTCATAGTCAATGATTGTTCTATATTATGACAGAATCAGTTCAAGTTATTGACAATCACAAACAATGAACTGATGAATATGAATTCTGTTATGAATGTCATGATCTATTTGATATTTAAATGGGACATTTCATAAGAACACTAAATTCTTAGGTTTCTGAAGTTTTATCAAAAGAAATAAGCTTTTCATTTTCTCCATATTTTAGTTAAGGATATTTGACGTCTTAGCCTTTGATCTTGTGCACTTCATCTATGTCAATGTAAATTTCTCCAAGTTCATAAAAGGGATTCCAAAATTCTAAAAGATTTAGAAATCTAACAATGTACTGCCCTACCTTTCCTCTGGACTCCTCTCCTGAGGCTCCTCCTCATTGCCATCTCCATTACCATAAGCTGGTCCTAAGATACGTAGTCTTGCTTCAGCATATTCAGCCTCCCTTTGTTCTAAAGTTTTTGTTGGTATATTTGATCTGAAAATATTCAATAAACTTCTAAAGTGAACCATTTATGAATATTAATATGTATCAGCATGGATATGGAGTCTGTAATACGTGTAACATGAAGCACTTCTGTTCAGCCTAGATAAAGAAGATTCTTTAAAGTACTTTAAAAACATCTCTGTTTCTCAAACTGAAGCGTTCTAGTTCATATCATAATGATCATTCATTAAATCACACTAATTGAACAGAACTTCCTAAACAATAAAGTTTTTTCTGCAATTTGCTTACATGTACATAGATCAATTATCCCTTTCTGTTAAATATTAATTTTCAGCAGTGGGCAAGGCCAGAAAGTCAGTTGTTAAAGCTTTAAAAAGAACCCTTGGGAGTTTTCCTTTTATTAAATATTCATAACTTTAACTACTATATAACTAATACAGAGGTCAACAAATTTAAGTTACCTGATTTGACTTCATTATTTTTAGAAGGATTAATTTCAAGGTTTTGTCCTGATTGTTTTAAGAATTTTTTCGAGTTAATGCATAATTCAATTAAACTGTAAACTGACAGGTAAATTGAGCAAAAGATCATTTTTACACGTATATAATTGATTTTTCAAGAGAATAACTAATAAAAAGATAAAGCTTGTTGGAAAAATATCAAGAAAATTTTATCATCACTTACTTCAAATTTTTTTAAGTGTGACACTAATTTTTCATCATTTCCTTATTCTAACAAGTGAGTATAATTTCTAAATTATTCAAATCAAAGTAAAACCTACTGCTCCCTCTTGGAGATTATTTCTTTTAACTACATTTATTCACATTTTCACTTTATTTTTTCCAGTCAGTATGTTTCATAGCCTAATTAATAATTCTTATAATACATCAATTGATCTTTACACAGGTAACCTAATGTGCATCAGCATTAACTCCAATTTCCTTACATTAAATAAATTATAACTGATGCATAAGCCAGATACAGATACAGAAACAAATTAAACAAGTGAAACTGTGAGCTACCGCTCACTGATGATACCCCGCCCAAATATTTCAGTAAACAGGAAGTTGTTGAGTGATGTATCTGAAAACTCATCACACGGTATAGCTGACTCATATAAACCCTGAAACAAAATTTCAGAAATCCTTGTAATGTAGTTTCTGAGATAAATGTGAAGAAAATTTTCAACTATTTGGATGTCATGTGTAAAATGATGTAAGTGTTTGGTAAACAGGAAGTTGTTGAGTGATGAATCTTAAAATGCATCACACGATAAAGCTGACTCATATAAACCCTGAAACCAAATTTCAGAAATCCTTGTAATGTAGTTCCTGAGAAAAATGTGATGAAAAATATTCATGGGACTGACGGATGAACGGACTGACTGACAGATGGACGGATGGATGGACGGACAGACAGAGGTAAAAAAGTATACCCCCACTTTTTTAAAGCGGGGTATAAAAACCCTGACCTAAGAGACATGATTCTATAATAGCAGCATGTTATTAATGTACACATGTATGTAAAATATCCACCTTTTATCATTAGATGTTGCTGCTGTATCAGTTTGTCTCTTTAGTATTTTAACTTGTGGTTGATATTGTGTTCTATCACTACTGTCTGTCACCATTCCTTGTGCAGGAAGACACTTTCTGAAACAGAAGATGAAAACATTCATTTTTCAAATCCTAAATTTCTTACTGTAGGCTATAAACTTACCAAAAATATGAAACAAAATCTATTGTTGTTGGTTCATTTTGATTGAGAATTTTATGACTTAAAACCAGATATAAAATCAATGAAATGATACTTTCCTTGATTTATTAATGGTGCAATGCATGTGTCAAATCTGATCTCATCACATTTCCAAGAAACATTAGCAATTGAATTATTTAATGATTTCTTTCACTGTTGGAATGGAATTTTTTTATTTAGATTTAAAAAAATATATATATTTACGTGTCTAGCTACAATTTCAAGGCAAAGAGAACTGGAATCATTTCATATAAAGGGCTAATAGAGTTTAGTCTAAAAAAACAACAATGATGAAATATTTCTGTATAGAAAGTTCTGCATCAGGTACATATATGCTAGAGACAAAACCTATTTTGTATATTTTGTGTTTGTAATACTAAGAATTGGCACTTCTTACAATTATCATGAATAACAGAACCACTTAAGGTCAAGTTGCAGTAAATGGGCTATGTCACAGATTTTGGTAAAATTTGCATACAACTTTAGCTCATTGAACTATAACTGAAAATCGAAAAAATAATGTATTTATCTCTTTTATCATCTGAAATATTACTGATTTTTTTACTGAAGGTTTTTCGCTGATTCTATGTGCTTTCTATACTAATGTTCACCTATTTTGAAAGAATTCAATCAGTAAAATTTCAGATAATAAAAGAGATAAATGCATTTTTTTTTAATTTCATTTATAGTCCAACGAGCCAAGGTTGTATGTAAAATTTTAGAAAAATCTGTCACATAGCCCATTTACTGTTCCTTGACCTTAAATGTAAGTATGGATATTTATAGTGGTATTGTTAAATTACATAAATAAATACTTGCCCTATAGATTTGTATATCAGGCATGTCAGGGCACTGTCAGAGATTACTTTTATGTAAGATAGGATGAGTTATCTCCCCTACTGACTTTTATTTTTATAAAGAAAATGAAAACAATATTAATGTGTAGGTCTTTACTAAATAACTATTTTTTATCCACTAGTATATCTGCAGTATGGAAGGGTGTGTGTGTGTATGGGTTTGGGATGTCTGACTATGATTCATATCGGCAGTGGGCCACTGACTGATTCTAATTTTGAATTATACGTTACTCATACACACATCTTACATGTATTAAAGGCTTTTAATTTATGATTAAAAGAGATGTGTGTTAGGTGTGTCTCAATGAGACAACAACACAATAATCCAGAATTGAAAAATCAAATTTAAGTATAAACCCTAATTTGTGAAATCTATGAAATTATACATACTTCTCATCTGCTGATGTCTTAATCTCCTTTAGTTTTTTGTCCAGAACCTGTAAAAATTTAAAGAGGTCATATTTAGTTCTGTATATGACTTAGGTTAATTATTTTTTTAATTTCAGGTACCTGTTTATTTCACATTATAAGTTTTATGAACTAGATTAGTTCGTCTTTTTTTTCTTTATCTCATAAATTTAAATTTAAACTTGTTAAATACAAAATGTACATAAAATTATGTATGAAACTAGATTTGTCAAAGCAACATGCTCGCAAGAATAGCTTGCAGCCATTTTAAGGAGTGGAAAATTTGAAAGTCCAAAGCCTGTAATTTCAACAAAAATCAGCAGAGCAGAACCAAACGTAAACTCAATCTGTTATTCATCATAGTAGACTCACATATTAAAAATCAGCTAGATATGTGAAGGCGTTTAGAAAAATAGTCTGTGTTTCTCGTTTTTTATATAGATAAGACCGTTGGTTTTCCTGTTTGAATGGTTATACACTAGTCATTTTTGGGGCCCTTTATAGCTTGCTGTTCAGTGTGAGCCAAGGCTTCGTGTTGAAGGCCATACTCTGACCTATAATGGTTTACTTTTACAAATTGTGACTTGGATGGAGAGTTGTCTTATTGGCACTCATACAACATCTTCTTATATCTATAGATGTATAACTGTTCGTTTTGGAATGACAAAATGACAGATAAGGGTAACACTATATGGCCCCACAAAAATGCCAGTACATGTACTTGGTGTACAAGTAATGATTTTTTGTTTTTGTTTTTATTTTACTTATCATTTGTTACTTATAAAATAAATGGAGAATGTGTCCCCATGGACACAGATGATACCCCCGCTTGCATACAACATTATAAATGGACATAACTCAAGAACAATAAAAGTGACGCTACCCAAATTTGTACTTGATCTGAGTTTTGTGGTAATAAGTATTGTGTATAGGTCTGATAATGTTTGGTTGGGACAAACTTAAGTTACAGAACGGAAACTAAAAATTTTGCAATTTTTCGATTTTTAATTGGGCATAACTCGATAATGATTAAAGTGACGCCACTAAAATTCATCTTGATCTGTATTTTGTGGTATAAAGCATTGTGTAAAAGTTTCATAACATTTGCATTTGGTTGGTTGTTGAAAACAGGTGAAATTGATAATAATTACTATAATTGAGGATCAATATATATCATTTTCACTCAATTAAATCTCATTTGAACTACAGAACTACGATTTTTGCTTCTTGTTTACATCATGCAAATTTAAGTTCCTTGAGTAATAATTTATGGCAGATGTAATAATAGATAAATGCTATCTACCTTTTGCATAATCATCTGCTATATTCGTGATATTGTTACACATGGAACTGAATGCATACAAAAAACAAAAGTTAAAATTTTTTGAATTTAGTGAAAATTAACTACCTCAGATATACTGCACAGTTAATAAAAAGTACTCTTCCCTTTGAGGGTGGATTCAGGATTTTTCAAATGGGGTGTCATTCCAAAAAAAGAAGAATTATTGCTGAGGCCAAAACAATTTGACGATTTTATGCTTAAACATGATATATTTTCCAATCAACTTGAATTTCCCAGTGACCTTGAAGATACGACATGTCATATTTTTCTGAGACTGTTAATTACCTCTTTACACTAAATCCATTGGTTGTTGGATGTTTACTGATTGATTTCTTTTATTAGTTGATATTGGCTTTGAACTAGCTGTCAGTAACTGCAATTACTGTCAGATCTGTACTTTGTTTCTTTTTTGTTGTTAGGGATGTATAAATACCCTGACACATCCAGTTTGTGTTTTTGTTAAGATGTTTTTCTGCTTTGTAACGATTTGATGTGTTCAGCCATTTTCAGCTGATTTTTAAAGTTTGCTGTAACACCACTGTCGCAGGTTAGGGGGAGGTTTGAACTTCACAAACATGACAAACATGTTTAACCCTGCAACATTCTTTATGTGCCTGTCCCAAGTCAGGAGCCTGTAGTTCAGTGGTTGTCGTTGGTTCATGTCTGTCATATTTGTTTTTTGTAAATTGTTTTGTTATAAATTAGGCCGTTAGTTTTCTCAATTGAATTGTTTCACATTTTTCATGCAGGGGAATTTATAGCCTACTCAATACAGTACGGGTTTTTCTCATTGTTGAAAGCCGTATGGTTGCCTATAATTGCTTACATCCACTTCATTTGAACTTTGGTGGATGGTTGTCTCATTGGCAGCCACACCACATCTCCTTATTTTCATATAGTTGATCAATTAACAACTTTGTACAAACTTTGATGTTTCAAATTATGAAATAGAAAGTGTTTCTCGTTTCTTAAACTAGTAATATCTAAATCTTTAATCAGTGTTTCAAAGTCAAACAGGATAATGTTTTTTTTTGTAATTTCTGCCAAAAACAGAAATGTATTTTCATTGATTTTAGAATATCCCAATAAATGAAATCTGATTTGGATTAGTTTTGTGCTCAATGGAATTAATCATGACTTTTTAAATATTTATTCCTTTTTGGTAACTATTTTGGGATAAAGTTTAATGAGGTTCATATTAAAGTACATGCATGTATGTGCCAAAACGGAGGGAAAGAATAAGCTGCAGATCAATCAGACTTCGTTTACATGTGACATGTCTTTAAAGTTAATACAGTAGAAAAATAGTTGGGGCGGAGAGTGGAGGGAGGAGAGTTAAAAAATGAAAAGTGAAACTTTTTTCCTGTTCATTTTGCACTATAAATTTAGGTGTACATTTGTCCACCGTTCATCTTCCTCTAAGCATATTCTTGAGGGAAAGAAAAGCAATTAATCTACATGTAATACAGTATACTCAATAACCCTTTCAGTAATGATTTGTAATAAACCGATTTAAAAGTACATGAAATGGAACTAAAACTGTAGGAGATGTGGATTATATGCCAATAAGATGGCAATCACATGTCAAAATCAAAGAGCTGAAAGCTCTGAGGAAAAATGACGCCACTGTCTCTAATATTGTGATATTTTTTATGCAAGTCTTGATTTTCACATACCGTAATTAGTTTAACATTCCAACATGTCTCGTAAGCATATAATTGATATTCGTATATGTGTGTGTTATGTGAAGATGACAACTGGCTGTTTTTTTAGTACAAATGTATAGGTCAAGACTACCTGAATGATCTACAGTATCCAATGACTACTGGCTGTTTTTTCTATAAATAAATAGGTCAAGAGTACCCGAATGATCTACAATAGCCAATGACTACTGGCTGTTCTTTTGTACTAATAAATAGGTCAAGACTATTTGAATGATCTACAATATCCAATGACTACTGGCTGTTCTTTTGTACATATAAATAAAGACTACCTGAATGATCTAAAGTATTCTAAGTAATTTGATTTTTGTCTTGCAATTACATTTTTCTAAATCAAGAATATAGACTACTAGCATGACTAGTATCCTTTTCAAACCAAATGATTATGAAGAGCCTGTTGTTATCAAGCTCTTATACCCCACATACTCATTAAATAAGTTACTAGTGACCTAGTTAATTCTGTTACTTGAAGCAAATTATTTCTGTAGATTTAGACAATAGTATAATATTGTTTTACTAGTTTTATTTCACCTTGAAGATTAGACAAATAGGGATACTCCTTTGATTTTTTATTTCATGTCAGTCAGGTCGCTTTATATGAAACTTGAAACCACTTCTCTGCCATATTGTTATTTCATAACAACTCTGCCCTTGACCATGTTGACCCATGTAATTGATATTCATTCTTTGACCATATATCATAGTCAGTTAGTTTTTGATTTTGCACTCCCACACCACCTTTCAGGTCAAATGTCTGTCTCCATTTAAGTTAATGACATTGAACAATCATGGTATTAAACACAATTTCAATAGTGATAATGCTGTTCTAGTAGGTCACCATATATTCAACTTGGGTAGCATTCCAGTTATTGAAATTTGTGTCAGATTAGAACACTGATCTAGACCTTTAGGAATGGATCTTACAATTTAATATGGAGCCAAAGTATGGGACCCTACACGGTAACAAAAAAAAAACAAGCTTGAACATGTTGAAAGGATACAACGTCAAGCGGCAAAATCTATCACCAGAAATTACAAGTCAAGAGAGGATGGACGGGATACGTCTCTAAAATGCTTGCCTAACTGGAACTACAACAAGATCTCCAGACAAGACGAACAAGGATATGAAGCCAGAAGTTAATATTTATGTAAAAAGTAGTTGAGGGGCTGATTCCCGCTATTGAACCATACTGTCATTCTATAATATTATTGCGTAAGTATTTCTGTATTGTCCTTGTTATTGGTCCATGTCTTGGTGTATTGGTCTGAGGCGAAGCCGAAGGCCAATACTGCTGGCCGAGGACCAACAATAAGGCCAATACAGAAATACATGTAATAGTATCTTTATTAATTAACTACAGTGTTACAATATTTTTTTATTTCATTTCACAAGAGATAAACATTTTTACCTTGAAGTGGAAGTATCCAAATCTCAGTTTCTTTTTATAAGATGCAATATCTAATGATTTGGTGCCGTTTCCATGTATCTTCAGCCTTTTCTCATCTGGTAAATTTTTCTACCCTTTCCAGTCACTATAAAGTGTTACAACTTTAATTTAGACACAACACATAAATAGTAATTGGAAAGGTACTGCCATTGCATGTGTAATGCAAATATATTTAAAAAAAAATAATGTAAGAGTTGAAATTGATACAACTATCCATAAGCCAATTGACCAAAGAACGAAGATTTGCGCAATTACAGAATGCATATGCCTGGTTCGGGTTTAAAAATAAAAGACCGTTTACAAAACATGAGAAGCGAAAGTAAACAGTAAAAATCGATTTGTACCATCGACCTGATGAAATTATGAGGTCGTCAAGAAATGAACTTTGTGATAATTTACTCGTTCCCCAAACCTGAAATAATTCCATCGTCTACTTTCAAAATGCTTTTCAAATGAATGGGACCGTCTTTAACCTAAAATATATGCCATACTGAACGTTTCAGCTTGTTTATGGTGAG